CCTGGTCTGAGTGGTGTGGATTAAAATAACAAATAGCCATCCTGCATCAGAGGCATTTACATACCTCCTTTTTCGTCACAAATAATTAATTTTATAAAGTAAGCTTGAAGTATAGACCTGTTATCTTGACTGCAAGTTATCTTTTATACTTAACCTTGATCATTAAAGCTGGCAGATTTCACTGCAGGAAGCCATGGGGTGGCATTTTTTTCGGTCTAATTTGGGCAGAAGATGTTAAACCATATCAAGTCAATACTTGAGACTAATTCATATATTTTATCTCATGCAGTCAAGTCCTAAGATCTTAAAAAATTTCTGCTAAATTACTACTGTCTTTTGTTTCAATTAGTTTTATCTGAAATATGAGTTACTTTTACAATCAGGCACTGCCTATGTTGTTAGTTTATGAAATTGTTGATTTGTTTTTTTACTCCATGATAAACTGATAAACAAAATTTGTTTTTTCTGTAAAATAAGCTTTAAATAAATAAATAGCAGTAAAGGAAAACAAACAAACAAACAAACAAAGAAGCCACAAAATTGCAAACCACGAAACCCAGAAGCTTTGCAGTTGTAACTATTTTAATTTTCTCAGGTTTCCTGTCGGTAGTACGTTATTAATAATGATTCGTGGCTCTGGTGGTTAATAACACATAACAGATATTGCTCCCTCTTACTTAAAATCAATGTTGAGCTTGCACTGTAAGCAAAGTGTTTTTTGGGCCCATACTGTAGACTGAGTAATATCAGATAGACTAAAATATTAGAACCCTATTGACTATCCTTATTTGTGAGTCACAGAATAGCTCTGCTTAAGGAACTTCTTGGCCTAAACCCATTCATTCCTAAATTCTGAATGCTGCAAAATATTGTGCATCACAAACATTTTGGGAAAATTCAATGCAATGAATAAATTAAGATGTAAGTTGTCTTGCAGTGAAATTTTCATTTTGTAATTGTAAAAAAGTAAAATTCATATGTGTATTAGGCCAATGTTACAAGATCATTAGTGTATTGTTGAGGGGTTTTTTTTCCCCATGGCAACATTAGTGTTAATTGTCGTTTCTGTTTATGACTTAGAAGAAACTTTGTTCAGAAATCAGAAAAATTCATAATTCACTACAATTGAGGAATTCTTATCAACTGTTTAACAGCTTGACTACGTAGTGTCAGATTGGGGTTTGGTTAATTCTCTTTCATATACAATCAATTTAATCAAACTTTATCAAAAGAAAGACTGAAAATCCATAATATTACAAAGTAAAACTACATGATTTAGCTATACTCTTGGCCTTATTTTATGTCAAAGTTACTCAAGTGCAATATCAAAATTTTCTGATCAGGAATTAGAATATTTTTTATTGTATCAAATAAAATTTTAAGCACACAAAGGATTTTGGAAAAATATAGCATTTTCTGCCTTATGGAGATTTTCTGTGAAAATTGATTTCACAATTATTACCGATCAGTTCAGTCAAAACTTCTTGGCTGAATAGAGAAGTAGCTCAACATGAAAAAAATAATTCAAAATCTCCTCCATAATTATGTCAGTCCCTTCCCTTCCCTCTTCCTTTTATTTCTATCAGGGAGAGAATATTTTATAATCAGCACAGAATAAGCAAAGTATAATGATCAATTAAGATTCTTGATATCTTTACCAAATTTATATTTCTTTTGTTTCTATTCCTCTAGTGATACTTTTAATCATTATTTCAAAGTCTAAAATAAGTCAGGTGAGTTGACTCCTGTAAGTGCTACTCTCAATCATTTTCTTCAATTCTATATGCAGATTTCTACATTCTCAGTGTCTAAAATTAGATGAGAAATGAGGCACATCAAACATTAGAGGAGATCTTGCCAGTTTAGATATGCCTAGATGACAGAATATTATATATTATGTAATCCTATTTAAAAATGTCTTCAAGTCTTCAAAATGTTAAGGTAATGACAGCATCATCACTTTCAAAACCAAGTTGGAAAACTCACTGGTGTGTTTTTCATGGCTTCCTGGATGTGAGTCTCCACAGACAGTTCAGACATCAACCTTTTAGAAGCCTTTGGGGGGATGAATTTACTCTTCAGAGTACTTTTGTTGATCTTCAGGGTAGAGATCAGCAAAAATCCTGGAAAATATGGTATCTTACATATTCTGCATAATTTTTTCTTGTTTACTTAATTTTCCTGAGTAGTCCTGGAGATCTTTAGTCAAGCCCACAGTATCAAACTGAGTGAGCCAAAAGGGATGTTATAACCCATGTTATAACTTTCACCCCTATCACACACACAGCTGGTGATGTTGACTTATCTACCAATTTTCTAGACACAGGTTGTGTTTATATCACTCTTCAGTATGACTATGGTAGCCACATGGAATAGATGTGTGTACTACTGAAACATAAGCTTAGGGTTACACACTTACAGACTTGCATTTGTACTGTTTCTGAGCATCCTCCTGAGACAATTTTGGCCTGTGAGAATTCGTGTTCTGTGCCATAAAACCCAGTTCCAAGGTCCACTCTTGATAGGCTAACCAGTGCTGGGGGAAGGAGATTTACATCAGAGGTGTTAGTGGCAATGTGTCTTGGCTACTAGATTTATTAGGCAAGGAATAAGCCAGAACTCCTTGGGAGTAGAAGTAAAATGTTAATTTTATTTAGTGTGAAACTTGAAATTGTAAAATGAGGCTGAAATAACCAATTTGAGGTAGGAAAATAATCCAATAGCTTTGACAATTACTTGGAAAATATTAACAATGGAAAACTCATCACTTGTAAATATTTTATCCATTATTCTATAGTGTACTTTGAGCAGGAGCATCCAGCTATTTGTATCCTCCAAACATATCCAGGATTTGCAGAGAACTTCATAAGAAGAATATAAAATTACTATAAAAAGTTAACAAAACCTTTACATTTAAAAATAACTTTTTTTTATTGATGCTTGTTTATTTTTCATTTACTTGCAGTTTTCCAATTCAATAAGTTGGCATTGTTTTCATACAGTAATATTTTTTATGCTTTATGAGAAATCAATTAAATTATGATTTAGACTTTGCAGGGAGTTAATGGATAGCAATTTAAAGAATTATTACTGTGCTTCAAGTAATATCAAGTATCTTATTCTGCCTACATAATTTCTGTATTCCTACCACTTAAGCAGCTATTAAGAAGTGCTTCTGACACAGTCTTATGTTGTGTTGTGTGCAGAATTACACCCCGTTGCTTCAAATCCAGATGTTTCATATTGGTTACAATAGAATTTGGGATGCGAGGTAAGGTCATTATATAAAGGTAGTGCAGTGTCATTTATTTAGGGAAAAAAATCAAACCCGAACCAACAGACTTTAAGTTAAAAAGGTATGAAAACCAGGATTAAAAAAAAAATTTGCTCAGGAAGCTTAGGAATAACATTATTCAGTTGAACTCAGCCTGGAATAATTGTGCATTTGAAGGTATTCCATATGCTAAAAGCAGTTGTGATCTAAATGGATGCATGGGCTATGCGGGAAAAAAATGCTTATGATTTGATGCAAGTTGCAAAAGAGTGGAATAAGAAGCACTTCCCATGCATCAAGGAAGGAGTACTGAGGTGTTTTTACTGCAAAGCACTACTTTGGTGACTCAAAGCAGCCATAAACTTCACATATGCATTCACTAACCTGAACATTCTAGGGATCTGACCTTTTTGAGTAAAAAGCTGTTGCTGGTTACAGTCTCTTTGCTTTTTAAACTTATTTGTAAAAAAAAATTAAACATTCCCTGGGATTTTATTTTTTGGTATAAACTTTTTTTTTTTTCCCAATAAAGATTTTTTTCCTCATTTCACAACTGAAGCCCTCCAGAAAGACTATGAAGCAAGAGACCAGGCTTAAATGCCTTTCTGGTATTTCTTCCTCTGCTTCATGATTGCTCTTGTTCACTTTGCAAGTATTATAATTATACTACATGTGGCCATTATTAATTTCTAAAGGAATTATAGTCAGCTGCTTGCTTACTTTCATCTTTCACCTGGAAAAAAGTCTAAATAATGATGTTTAGCTTGTGTCTCTGTAACAATAATATATACATTAGGCATATGAATATTCTGGCTTATGATCCTTTCAAAATTCAATGTGTTCTTTAAAACTGTATCTAGCATATTGGCATTAGAATTACCTTTGCTTTGTCATACCTGCCCATGGATAATGGAAAGTATGAGATCATAACCAAGTCTGCTGAGCCCCAGTTAATAATCCAAGTGGAAATGGAGAATCCATGATCAGCAACTCTCTTTGGTTTCCATATGGCAACACAAACAAAAGACATCATGATTCACATCTCACCCCCTCACTGTCTGGAGTAAAGATAAACAGTTGCTGCACTGGAAATATGAATTTATCTAAAATGTACCAAGAGAAAAGTCTTTCAAGAATTCTTGACTGTCTCTAAATGTTTAGATTTGTACTCAGTTGTTCTGAGTAATAATTATTTAACTTCTCTGTGAAAAAGAGGACCTTTTACTAATAGGCTTCACATGGCATACTGACATTTCAGAGGGTTGCTATATTAGTTCTATCATTCAGAGCCATGAATTATTGAATCACCTACATATTGCCCTTCAAACTACTGAACTACTCACCATTGTACTGATGCAAATATCTAATAAATAAGCAGAATGCAAAATGTCTTTATTCAGCTTTAAAAGAAGGTTATAAAGTTTTAGTAGAGCCCCTACTATTACTAGTGCTAGGTAGTAAATTTTGTTTGCAGCTTTCTGTCTGCCACATCCAAATTTGTTTCAGCTCCGTATTTCATGGAGATTACACATTCATTTGAGAGGTATAAATGCTGCTGTCCTTCCAGTGGCTCTTTGACATCTTTGCATTCTTAAACCTCAATGTGCTCTTCCAGAGAGCAGAGCTGTCCTTCACCTTCCTTTTTCACGGATTCACAGATTATTCTATCCAATAGAGTTGGAAGGGACCCACAAGAATCATTGAGTCCAGCTCTAAAGTGAATAAATGGCCAGTACAGGGATTGAACCCACAACCTTGGTGTTGTCAGCACCATGGTCTGACCAACTGAGTTAATTTACTACAGGTTTTAATTATTCCCTAAGTTAATATTTGTGCAAAGCAGGAAAAATTGTTGCAGTCATTGCAGCTGCACCATTGAGAGAAAAATGGGTTACTGTTTATTTTCCAAAAAACCCCATTTTTTATTCAGGTTAATCACTCTTAGTGACAAAATAAAATAGTAAGAGACATTCTAAAGGATACCCCCTGACATTAGCTTTTAAAGGCATGTATAGTCTGCTGTAAAGGCTGACAACATTACACAGAGTATATGAGATATTACAAATGAACTGTAGAGTATTCTGATAAAGTAGGTTCAAAATACAGATAATCTGGAAAATTTTGATTGCAAAGCATTCTGCTGCAGTGGGGAATTTATTTATCAAGAAAATCAAAAGAAGTTTTCATCAACTCATCCTGTTTACTTATGTTTACTGGGTATAAAAATTTTAAAATTTCCTTTTGTTGTAGGAACTATAATAGATTGACTACTCAGATACTGATACGGGGTGTTCAATACAAAGACATTCACAAGAAGATAAGGCAATATCGGAATATTTCCCTCTTGTCCAAACTCACACAGAAAAATAGCAAAAGCAGTAATCACTTACACCTGGGCCATTTTCTCTCAAGATAATCACTATACTATAGCACACACTTGAGAGTTATTTTGATGATAAAGAGTGTTTTTCAGTCTCTTTAGATCATCCACGTGCATTTTTCATTTTAGAAGCTTTGAATTTTCTCTTAGACAACTAGAAATTTACTGAGAATGATCTCACTAAAATCTTCTTATTTCTCATGCAACATAAAAAATCCCACCCAATGCCACTGTGGTTTTATGGAAATGAAGTTTAATGGAAAACTTAGAAATCATAGAACATCACTTGCACATTCTAATACATAAAAATAAAATTAATGTAGAGATCCTGATCAGTTCTTTTGTTGCCTGGAAACATTAAGGTTCTTAAATAGGCATTTAGCTGAAATTTTGAATACCAAATGAGTACAGATATACCTGCTTGATAATTTAGGAACATCTGTATGGAAGCATCTACAGAACACAAAAAATTCCTTTGTTCTAGCTCTTGGGAAAGTGTGTGTGTGTGTGTCCTAAAGAATTCAGCTCAGTAACTCAGCACTGCATGGATGTCAGGTCCAAGAGAGGAATGAGCACCAAGAGCAGCACTTTGATGCCTGTGAGACTCCCAAGAGAAAGCAGATTCAGCATCAGCCTCTCCTTTTGCACTGCATTGGGGTAAGGAAGTCCTGAAGTGACCGAGCTGTTGGTGGGCAAGTTTACCTGTGGATTTTAGAGCTTAAGCTGCAGTCCTGGCCTTGGGGCTTGGCTGTAACACCTGAAATAATCACCTCAGAGCAAGCTGGAGTGTATCTATAGTACATTGTAGCCATTTCTGTAATGGCAGTACACTTTGATTTTTATCCATTGCACCAAATTTTTATGTTTTGCTCATAACTGGTAGGGGAAAAAAATCATTTGCTCATCTCTAGTTCCGTGCCCTAACTACATACTTCAAATGACACAACTCTTCCAGAAAACTTTTAGAATATCTTTTAAAGCTCTCAAAAGCTTACGTCTGAAAGCCAAATGTACAGGCTATAATTCATTTACACTTTGTAAAATTATGTAAGTCCTCAATAGGTCCCACAAATCATTTCAGTATTGTGTGGTCTCCTTTAAACTTCATAAGCAATGCGACAGAAAATCTTTCAAGTAGGAAATTATGGTTTGTTTTTTTCTTTTTCATTTTCATAGTTTCAACCCATAACTTCTCTTGTTCAAACCTTTATCAATATCCAATTTCTTCACAAATCATTCCAAATACTCAGCTTATTTAATATTTAAGGACCAAACCTAGCCCAAATGTTTCAGCTATCTAAATTTTTTTTTTTTTAGGTCACAAAATCCTCTGTTCATTTAAACTGTAAAGTTCTGGGGGTTTTTAGATGCACTGTAACAACCATCCAGCAGTAGATCTGTGTATGTATAAAGAGATTTAGGATGCTAATTACAGAGAGAAGTATGAAGAATATTTCTTGAATGTTATTTTTATCCAAGAGATTTATAGGATCCCTGTCTGCTAAGTATTATGGTAGTAATTAATTATATGATAAATTGTTTTTTTCCCCTATAAGATTCTTTGTTCAAGTTCCTAATGCCCAAGCACTGCAATTTTCAGCCTTCATATAATTTTGAGGTAATACACAGAAATAAACTTGTATGATACAGTAGGATGATCCAATATCATGTGGAATTATCATCTAGTTTCTTTTGGAATATTATTGATTTTTAGTGATTTATTTATTTATTATTTATTGATGTGTCCAGTGCAACTCTAAAGGTTATAGAAGATAATCACCTTATGGGTTTGAACCCTCTGCTAAATTTTCATTCCTATCTTTCTTTTTATCCTCTTTTAAAAGTGACCATCCTCTGTGATAACATTTATTAGCATTCTTGTTTTCTTTTCAATGAAGGTTACTATTTTTTCATAAAGTTTCTTTACAGTTTTAATGCATGTCAATTAATAAAAAATTAGTTAATGTAAATACAAGAATGCATCAGGTCAAGTAAGTTTGAAAAACAAGGGAAAATCCAAATCATGCTCACAAAAGTCATGACAGATCTGTTTTCTGTCTGTCTCTCCATCACCACTGGCAAGTCTGTGTTTGTGGGTTCTATTTTTCTGTGAGAAGCTCTACGTACTCACAACAGTGATTAGCAAGAAATCTGGACTATTTTAGAGAATCTGTATGTGAATGGGATGGAATGGACTCAGGTAAAACCATTTCCAAAAGGTTTCATGATTTATTGTCATTCAAGATCTCTATTTGCATTTTGACATTTTTCACCTGCATAAAAAAGTACATTTTGTAAAATAGATTAGAAGATATTTGGCTATAAACTTGTTATGAGCTCATTCTCTGAAAATACTTAGCAATAGTCACAAACAGTGTACGTGGGAAAGATGAGTACATATTATATAAATAAGTTTATTCTCCAGGTACTAAGTTCAATTTGCAAATAATTTACATGTTTTGTATAGAAAATTTTCCGCACAAAGATTTTCGCAAATATTTGGGTACAGTTACATGGTATTTATTCTACCCCTGGGGTTTTAAAAAAAACCCACATTATTCTGAAAATCTTTGACTACAATATGTAGATTTTTGTCCCTTTTAAAAAAAAATTTGTTCTCAGGAGAAAGGAGTAAAAAGAAAGATAATTCCTACTTTATCTCTGCACTTTGGGAAAACAATCCCATCACTATTTACTTACACAGCATTGTGAGCTTTATTAAGTAATTTTCTTTCTATTTTTATGTCCATAATTTGCCCGCTTTTCATAAGGCGCTCTGGCACTGAGCCAGTAAAGAACACAATCACGTTTGGCTTTGCACATATGCAAAATCTTCTGCATATACTGCCTTTGAGATATATTTTAAAATTACTTCCAAGGAGAGTCAGGGCAAACTCATCTATTCAGTGCAAGCATAGTCACTTTGTGCAGGGAAAAGAGAGCAAAGAGCAGAGCCACCAGCAGCTCCATGGCTGGCACAGGCTGGCTGTGCCCAGAGGGGCCAGGCACTGGATTGTCTGCCAGAAGTATCACAGTCAGCATGATTTACTAAATTAAGGAAAAAAATAATGAATAATCAGAATTTTAAATTATGATTTACAACATTAGAACTAAATACTTCTGCCCACAATGGTCCCACAATATGTCTTAGTACAACTAAAATGTTCTGCAAAGAGAGAAAAATGCTCATAATATCATTTAAAATGCTGAACTATATGTAGACAACAAAACTGAATTTCAAAAGTACCCTTTTCTTATGGAAGATCTTAATCAAGAAGTGGATATAACCTTTTTCTAACGTTCAAAATTTTTTGAAGAACAGGAGCTACAACTCATAAATTATTTTGGATTTGAGTATTGGAGACAAGAAAAAACGTTCCATAAAAATACATACAAATACTTAAATAAAATACAGACCAACAAAAAAGATAGGCTACATTAAATTTCAGTCATCATTATAAAAGTATATGGTGGCTTTAAAATATAAGTAGGTCTTTTCACGATGGGAAAAAGATTTGGCCAAAATAGGAGGGTGAAATGGCATCAGATTTTTTTGACACCACAAGCTTAAGGCAAATATACATCAGTATGAGCAAGATCTGTAACTAACAGATTGCATTTCTTAGTCTTCTGAAGTGTAATTCAATTTAATAGACAAAGTATTTTCAACCTCTCATCTTCTGTGTCGAAATATATTTTAATTTTTTTCTGAGTTTATTATATATTTACTTGGAAGTCAAGTACTTGATATGAGTCAGATTGTATATAACAGGGCTTCAAACAGGTGTTTCAAATCTGCATACAAGACCTCATTAAAAATATTCCTTGGTGAAAATAGCCATCTTTACCTTTCTTGTTGATGCATGAAATATCTAGCAATATTCCCTTTTATAAGTAATGAGAAGACAACATTTAATTATTTTTGCTATATGTGATAAACAGTACATTTGAAGGTGTATGATTATGATATTTTCCCTGTAAATCTAGAGGCAATTGGACTTTTTTTATATTTGTTTTTTGAGTTCAGTTAACAATTTGTCACTAAAACCATTGTTTGTATATATTTTAAGCAACTGTTTCTCAACGCTGGATCAAAAAACACTTTCTAGAACTGCAACACAGTTCATTCAGTTCTGTGATTTGCCCAAGACGTTTTATGTATAATTAGGTCCTATCTTCAGATAGCGTGCCATATGTTTACAAGGGAAATTACTTGAATCCAATAGTCCTTTCTTGTTTAAATATACCAAGGGCATTGACTCAGTGTCATGTCCTTGACTTCAGGAGGCTCATAACCACAGCAGAAGACACCATCTCCTATGAAAATTCGCAAGGAAGAAAGAACTTAAATTAACTAAAGAGCATTTTGAAACATTGTAACTTTTTTAAGTTAATGAGATGCTTTACAGAAGGCTACTTT